TTGTCAAAACCACTTGCAATCTGATTCATAGCTGAGCGCCTTGCCGCCGGTTACATATAGAAGGTACAATGTACCATTTAACCACCAAATCCATAGGAATCCCGCATGAATTATTTTTGGTGCCGAAAGTAAAGGGGGCAATTGCCCCTGCGCTAGGCAGTGCTTCATGTCTAGGAATATGCAATATTTTTTACCTCTTTAGTTCTTCAATAGGACTGAGAGCAGATTGATTTAAGGCTTCTATTCCACTGTCATACACAAACAAGTGAACCTGCTTGATTAACATTCTAACAGCCTGCACTAAATCAACACTTGGCATGAAATAAACCTAAAAACGTAAAACATAAGTCATATCAATATCAAATTAGTTGGGGAAGCATAGGAAGCATTACAATGACAAACACAGAAAACAAGGTTTTGAAATAATAATATTTAGTAGTACCTGTCCATGTGAAAGAACATTACTTGTTACAGAATCCATGGTATTCTGGTTGAGCCAAAACTCAATAAGGATCTGCAACATGCAAAGGACGCAGTTGACAAAAAATACCAGAAAAACTTCTTAAAACACTTTATTTGAAAACTCACCAATAAACTACACACAAATACAGACCCCAGCAGCAGCAACCACACCTGACTGGCATCTTCCCCACATCCAACGAACACACCAGCAACAGCTGTTACACTCATTATCAACACCACTATGCTAATGACATCCCATGCAAACCCTTCTTACACTCCATCACTTACCCATAGCACCTCTTCCCAACCAACACTACACACACCTTACCAATACTTTATTACATCGATTGTCATAATTATGAGGTCAACACAGCCCCAGACCTGTTTTTTGGCTTTGACCATTTACAAAAAATACTAGCCAATAACAGATGAAAGTTGCCAAAACCCCAGACATTTTGAATTATAGCTAGTAAGTACAAGTTAACACCACCATATCCCCACCAGTGATGAGATCCTTAATTTATCCTTCCTGCAGTGCTTTACCTGTAAAAAAGTTTCAGACTTCCATATCTCTCCGGTGCTATGGTCATATGTACTGTGACCTTGGACTGGAGGAATATGTCCTGACGGTGATGCTCGGATAAGACCGCTAAACTGTGCCTGGTTCTGTGGCAACCTGTGAAAGCTCCCTGTACTGTACCTACCACAAATGAACACATAATAAAATAGATAATGACCAGTGGTTACTAGTTGGGATTATATTCCTGTGTCACATACGACAAGTGAATAAGAGAGAGACTAATGTCCGCAAAGTCAGTATTAACTCAAGTAATACTGCATATACTAACCAAGGTGCTTGATTTCTGCCAGACAGACTTGATGATGTTGAGGTGTTAGGTTGGATTGATGTCGCAGGAGACAAAAAATGAGTAAGATAGCTTTCAAGGATGGCCAAGTATAATGTCTGGACTTCAGTTGTCCCATTTGAATCTTGAGATGTCTAAAAGAAATCAATTCAAACTAATACAATCAAAAAGGAGATTTTTTGTTAGGATGCATGACTCGCCTCTCATCAATGCGACCCGGGTTACAGTCCCACTGGGCTCAGTGTGGTATGTGAGTAGAGTTGTTTGTTGGCTCTCTCCTGTGCTACAAGGGTTTTACGGGTTCCCTAGTATCCTTTCCTATGCAAAAATCAACTTCTAAATTCCAAATGGAATTACAGTGGATGAAGAGCCACTCTGTGGAAATACCACTGCTAAATCCTATTTATTTATTATTTATTATTTATTAAAGCAGATATCAATCAATCAATCAATCAATCAATAAACTTTATTTAAAGAGGGTGACGTATTAACCCAGTGGGTTATCTAACTTACAGCCCTCACAAATCTAACTTATGGCCCTCATATCTAACTCATGGCCCTCACTTATGGCCTTCACAAGATATGGTATATATAGTAGAGAATATGACCCCTAAATCTGTGTTTGAAGGGTATCGACTATAACCATGCCATTAACATGCTTATTGACTTCCTACCAAAAATACTACCAACCACATTAACCAACAGCCTGCTGAAAAACACTACCCATACTCTACTGACTCTATACTGACTCCATACTGACACTGACTTGGGGGTGTCAATATTTACTAGAGTCCTATCATGTGATACCATTATGACATTGGAATATTTATTCCTGATTACTTACACTGCTAATGTTCTGTTGATATACAAGATAGTAAGCAAAATGAAACATGAAGTACTCAAAAGCATCTAGCAATGGGTTAAGAAATGACAATCAACAATTGAAATAAACTAAAGACCCTGTTTAACCCAAAAGTTGAATGACATTACTGCTAATAAACATAAGTAAAATCTAATCATTGGTATAGCAACAATTTTCAATCAATGCATATTATTCAAAAGGATACCAAGAAGTACTACTCTCGAAGAGTTAGAACTGGCAGTATTGGAAATGTGGATTTTGTTGTGGTAAAGAACTGGGATATTCCCCTCTGCTAATGAGTTTTGGGATGGCATCTGTAAAAAGCGATAAAAAAACAATATTTACTAGTGATTACAACAGATGGATCTCACTACTTTAATATTAATATAGTATTTTGAGTGGCAAAATATAATTTTTATATCATATATATGTGTGTGTGTGTGTGTGTCAAATGTTTTGCAAATTACCCCTTTTTCTGCAAATCATAGAAAACGTCAAGGTTTTTACGACTTTTGAAGTCAATGTACCGAATGAACAAATGGATGAATGAAAGAACAAATGGGTGAATAAATGAACAAATACTTACTGGAAGACATTTGATGAAGAATTCATATTTTAAGTATCCATCAACTTGAAGTTTGTCAATCAACTTGAATATCGCTCCAGATGGCCCCAGGAATTTTGATAGTTGTTCAAATGCTCCAGATCGCTGGGATAATTTTCTAAGTCCCCAGTCATTATTATTGTTGCTATAACCAAATATACTTCCAAGAAGCTCTGGGAAAAATCCATGTAGCTCCTGTTGATTTAAAAATAAATTAAAATAGACAAAAAATATTCCACATAAAAAATGTAATTAACTGATTTATATAAGGCATTTATAAACACCTTTATCAAACTCATCAATAATTCATGAGGAAAACACAATAGAAATCATGACCTTAGAGGAGTTTGTAAATGTTCATACAGAATCGTCTCAATTTGCATAAATTTTAACTTGAATTTTCTCTGCTAGATTCACTCTTATCTGGAAAATTTTATTAGGAAACAAAAGAACTAACCTAGACCTTTAATATACATGGCCGATCTATATGGGCTTTATGATAACTCGCCTTCCTCTCATTTTCATAAGGTTCGTTTGTGAATGCCCATGCAGATTGTCCACTCATTTTGTATATATTACATAACAACTTCAAGGATAAATACAGAAAGGTCCCATACACTTTAACCTCCTGGGAACAAGGTAAAAGGATTGAAATACATGTAATAATGGAGGTTCATGATATTGCAAGTTCACAGGACACAGCCTCATTTTTGAGATAATGTGAAGTTTGAGATATCTAGGTTTTGAGATGACAGGACTCAGCTACTGTATATGCATCAGAATTGGATGCCAGAAATATTCATCAAAATTTTCATAAAATAACTAAAAGGAATGAGTAGTGGTCCTTTTAAGCCTTTCAAATGACACAATTTTCACGCACCTTAGTGGAATAGTCATCAATTATTTTTTGGACTTCCTCACATCTTTGACTTAGTGAAGACTTTTGGAGGGCAATACTGGTTTTTCTCTGGTAATTGCAAATGATAATAATGATTCATGTTGATTAACTCCTTTTAACTCTTCAATTCCAGAAAACATCCATACAAAAAATAGTAATACTTCATGTTTACTAGCAAAAACATTGTGATGTTAATATGTCAACTATTTTTACAAAAGTTTGTCACAAGTTGCTTTAAATAAATGAATGAATGGATGGATGGAAGAATGGATGGATGGATGNATGGATGGATGGATGGATGGATGGATGGATGGATGGATGGATGGATGGATGGATGGGTGGGTGGATGGATGGATGAATGAACTTTGTTTATAGAAGATGACACTTGACAGTATAGACCCCTTGCAACACTTTGGAATGCAGCTGAACCTGGGGGACAAAACAAAAGGTTCCAATTCCAATTCTCAGAAGTTTGGAATTCTTTTGTTTTGTTCCCCAGATTGAGCTGCTTTGACATCACATGCAAGGGGTCTATTTACCGATAAACCTGTGGTCCTCTTTTAATATCTCTAGTTAATTAGGGAGTGGACCACCATTTACATGGTCATCTGAGCCATGTGAAGGTCTAACCATTTGCAGATATAGTAGCCCTTTCACCTCAGTTATATTAAGACCTTGAGTGTTGGTCTGGCTGAGGCTTGAATCAAGACCTCCTGCTCAACAGGCAGATGCTCTTACCATTACTGAGCTAAACGGGAGGTGTTTGTGTCACCAGCCAACCAATCTCTGGTTGGCAAATGAATAGCAATGGCTTATGTCACAAAAGGTATCAGCAACACATCCCACATTGGGAGAGATTGTTATTTTAATAGCCAACATTTAATTCAATAGGACTCTTAAACTTTTTTTAACAGCATATAACTTTATATGTTCGTTGTTATTGTAGTATTTAAGATGTTTATACATAGTTATTTGAAGTAATAGTCTCAAAATACAGCGCGATGTTGTTTTTTTTTTACCATTTTACGCCATCATGACCATTAATAATTTGGGGAAATTTGCATCATTCACAGGCAGCCCAAATAAAGGCAATTCTCTGCTGCTGAAATATATATGTTGGTATGCGTAGTGGAGTGGTTAGAAATGAAACAACTCAAAGGTTTTATGTCTAATCAACTGATTGCTTTTATGCAGTACGTAGGCGAACCTTTCGTTCCAGCATGTGGTAAAAAACTTTTACTTTACAAGCTTTTAAAATAAGTACGAAACCACACTTTCTATTGTCCTGTCATATGAAAACCTTACCTTAAAATCATCTGAATTCATCCTAGTACTGTTATTTTGTCACAAAATGTTATAAATACGCTGTAGAAGGTAATGCAGTTCGACGTTTTAACTTTCTTGCTGTCAGTACGACTTGTCCGCCATTTTGTTCAACATGACACAGGAAGCCCAAAACAAGCCGAAAGACTTCACGATCACTTTTTGTGGGGTTCCTGTGGTGTTTGATAAACTGTATATGATAGAGACTATGAAAAAAAAGGCCGGATGGAACGCAGGCTATAATACATAGGTTTTAATTTATTTTTGCAAAAGAACAAACGAACGAAAAGAATATGAAATTTTGCTCTTTCTCCCAAAAGTGAAATCTTGCTGTCCTAATTTCAAGTTAAAACTTTTATTCAAAAAGGGAACCTAAGTAGTGGCAATTTAGTTGCTTCATAGGGTACGCGAAAAAAATGTTTACAAAATAATAATTCTTATGACGAAAGACTCGTACTTATTGTATTAGTAAAATGCAATAAAAGCTTCCTTCCTTCCTCAAGGGTGGGGTTCCTGTGTGGTTCGTTCTCATTCCCCTCTCTGCCTTGACTCCTCCTCCTCTTCCTTCTTCATGTTCAAACAGAGCTGAGCCGGTTCGTTGGAAAAGACTGAAAATAACTGAGCCTTTTCTCCACCCGACACTCATCTAAGACTCTTTACACCACTTCGATAAGAAGTTCCAACCTTTGAGTACAATTTAATACCCAACTTATTGCTTCAGAGATGTCTAGAGTGGTACGAAAGTCACTTTTCCGCCATGTTTTCGGCAAAGACCCGCGAAAGGAGGAAACATTTGAAGACATCAAAGTCTCAAAAAACTCCTGGGAAGCTCCTTTTTGTGCTGTCAACCCTAAGTTTGTAGCAGTGTGCCTTGCATCTGCTGGCGGTGGAGCTTTTCTAGTGCTTCCTTTGAGCAAGGTAAGACTTTGGTATGACTAAAATGTGGGAGTCAATGTATTAAACAGGTCATATGGCCTCCAACTAGACTCTTCTACAAATATTTAATCAAGGGAAACCCAGAAAATCTGTCCACGTTCTTTAATCAGATAGTACTGATTCGAAGATTCCTTAAAGACCTGGAATAAGTATTTTATGAGGTTTATCTTTATTCTCTTGAAGTTAAACTTCCGTGAAGACATGAACGTGTTGGATGAAACGCCTAGGTAAAATACATGACCATATAAAGAGATCTCTGGGATTCAAGTTGTTGCACACTTATTTACCTATTGATCGCGTCCATAAGACCATCAAAAGAAGTCAAATTGCTCAATTATCTCTTTTTATCTCATTAAAGCTTTGATTCTTAACACTTTTGCCCATTGATTCTCGAAATTCTTTCTTTCTTTACATGAAATAAGTATTTCAGACAAAATTTCGTTTTCACTTCAAGAACATTTGCTTTGAAAAGAGATTTCCTGTGATAGCCATCTGTCAGTAATTGTGATTTCAATCTGTTTATTATGACATCCAACGAGTAAACTTGACTTCTGTATTTCAGAATTAACTTTGTTTATTAGCTTCCATAATTCTACTAGATTCAAGTCCAAGTCAGACCGACAGATCTGGACAGAATATTACAAAATATTCCACCGAAGTAACGATATATTTTTTTCAAGATCCATGTTTATCAAGAGAAATTCCTATATTCTAATACCTAGATTGTGAAATGTGTTTTTTTAAATAAAAACGAAAAATCCGATGGCTATCAATGTCAAACAAATATTTTCTTGGTGGAGAAATAATTTTGGCTCCAAAACTTTGATTTCCGTGATTTCAGACGTTACAGTTGTAGTTATTGTTTAATAAGTGATGGAATTTTCCTTGTACTGTACTTAAATTAATTTAAATTATTCAGTCCCACCCATTATTAATGTAGGTAATAATGTCATTGTCCGTATAAAATGTAGTTTTCTGTGAGCTGTAAAATTCAACGATAAACTAAGGTGTCATATTTCACTTTTTTTAAGGATAATTATTTTTAAATGTATTTGTTTAGTTCAAGTACGAATACACAAACCCTACATAAACTTCAAACAACATTCAAAGTAGTAAATTATAGATAATGTAAGAATAAGTAGTTGATATATTTGAGTATTGTAAAGTTTCAGGATCGTTACACATTCCCATATAACAATTTAATTATTTTTAAATGTATTTGTTTAGTTCAAGTACGAATACACAAACCCTACATAAACTTCAAACAACACTCAAAGTAATAAATTATAGACAATGTAAGAATAAGTAGTTGGTATTTTTGAGTATCGTAAAGTTTCAGGATTGTTACACATTCCCATACAAAATTTTTTTTTCCTAATGAATAACATTTCCATAATCTCCAGGAAAAGCATTGAGGAATGATCATATTGTCTATCTAATCAATAGGAATCACTTTTAGTACCATTATTTCGTTCAAATTTTAAGAAGACTCCAAAATCCCTGATGCATGGATTTTTCTGACAAAAGAGAGACAGAGTTTGCATGTTTAAGAAAATTATTGCAGTAAAAAATTTTTCCAGGACTTGTATAAAAGAAAACTTCCATAGACCGAAAGAGCCACCAAGACTATATACAGGGTTCATGCTACTCCTTAGACTCCTGAAAACTCCTTGAATTTAGTTCACGTTTTTAAGGGCACTTGAAAAGCTCTTGAATTTTACGATATTAGTGAAACTCCTTAAAAACTCCGTGAATTTTTGCTTTGATCATTACTTGCATGGTTCTGAAATAGATCTAGTCAGAAAGATCGGAAAATCTGAAGGTCGGCCATGTGCAACCACCGTGCAAAACCTTGGCATTGTTAGCTGAACATACTCCTTGAAAATTCATTTTTGGGTCCTTGTATACTTCTTGAATAGTCCTTGAATTTTAAGTGGTTACCTCGGCACGAACCCTGATATATCTAAGCCAAAGTTCTAGTTTAAAGAAGTTTTAGATACGAAGATACAAGTGATTGATTATGATAATAATTTATTTAAAATGTATAGGTCTGTTGGTGTCCCATTGAGGGACACCAACATGGCAGACAAATCACAAAGGTTGAAAATCATGTTTATATTGCAACCACTTCAATTTGTCGATAACACAAATCATAAAAATAAAGTTAAAATAATAAATTTCCCTATTTCTAATGCTTTGAAAATATGTGAAAGAATTACCTGCATAATTTGACTTGACCAAATGACATGACATGACACAGGGCTCTGTGTCAGAATAAGTCAGAATAAGTGGAGCATGCACACCTATGATTGACTTGGGTGTACCTAATTGACACTATTCTGTTGGTTATTTATTGTGGTATAGACTGGTCGTGTTGAACTTAACAGTCCCCGTGTTGCTGGTCACCAAGGAGATGTCTTGGATTTAGCATGGAATCCTTTCAATGACAACATGATTGCCTCCAGTTCTGAAGATATGAAGGTTATGCTTTGGGAAATTCCTGACACTGGTCTAGCCCATGACCTAACGACCCCACTTGTTACCCTCTCCCACCACCAGCGTAGAGTTGGCATAGTCAGGTGGCACCCAACTGCAGAGAACATCTTGTTAAGCGCCAGCCAYGACAATTTGATTTGTGTCTGGAATCTGGAATCTGGTGAAATTGTGACAGAGATTGATTGCCATCCAGACACTATTTTTTGTGTAGCATGGAATCATGACGGCAGTAAAATTGCCACTACTTGTAAAGACAAAAAGCTAAGAATACTTGATCCACGATCTGGGGATGTCGTTAAGGTTAGTTATGAGACATAAACAATTGGTCCATTTTGTTTGTTTTTAACCTAATGATCAAGTTTTAGAATTGCCAGGTTGATTTTTTTATTTTATTTTGAGTGATTCTTAGTTTTTGTATCCAAACAAAAGTCAAATAATTCATGATTAAATATTTTGTATATATATATATATATATATATTTATATACAG